GTAGCCGCAGGGCCCCCCCATTCGAGGGCGCCCCGAGGCGGGGGGGTGTGCAAGGGACAGAGCCGCTCTGGGTTTAAGTAAGGTATTAGCCCAGGCCCAAAAATTCTGAGTGTATCTTTAGGTCCGGAATAATTTTGTGCAGAAGGAGTTTCTGGGCTGCTAACTTGCAGGACTGATGTGAAGTTTCCAGGACTTTGTTCTGGAACATTTTGAAGCAAAATTATTCTTGTTATAAATGCCATTTTTCTTTTTTTCCCGTTATTAATTGAATCGGTCATAAAAATAATTTAACATGCAATACTGGAATTTTATATATGTTGTCTATACATATGCATTATATATATGTGTGTGTCTATGCCTACTTAGCATCCTTGCCTGTAGGCAGAGGAAGCTTATGTTTCTGTCTCCAATTCCTTCCCTGGAGCACTCGGCTGAGGATGAAGAGGAGTCGTCTTTGATACTTTTTTATACTCACATAACACTAGTCAACTCATACCTAGAAATTTCATTGTAGGCGGGAGGGAAATGGAAGGAATATGTGTGAAGACACATATTGCACTGAAGAAAAAAATGACTGAAAACAAAAACAACAGTAAGATTGCAAAGCAAATACCTCAGGAGCCCAACTAAAATTTGCCGTGCTGGACTATGAGTCAATATGTCTTGGTGCCTGGTAGTAAACAGCTTCAGCTGTGTCTCCCTGAATTTATGGATTATTACTATTTATGTAAGCATATTTTGCCAAAGCTGTGGGACAGCCTCTCTCCCACTTTTCCCTGTCACCTGTCTCTGCATGGCAGAAGCATTTCGTACTCCACACGACAGGCTGCAGTTCTGTCTCACATGTCAGAAAAGAAGAAACTTGACCCATACAATAGAAAATACATATCAACAGGCCGATAGCTTCCTACTGGGACAGCCTAAATTCCACCCACATGATGCTTCCTATGAGCTAGCACAGGGCTTCAGTTGTACCTTGCCTGTACAGACTGGTAGCCTCAAGGATGTCAGTCAAATTTAGGCTGCCAGAATATGGCCAGGAGTGTTCTTCCCCACCTGGAGAATCAGCCTACACATCCTTTTTATTGCTTCAGGTGTCTTTTTACTGTACTGTTTTGCAGGTATTTCTCTCACTCCTGTCCATCTGTGCTTCTGCCAAGAAAGCAGCCTGCTGCAGGTTTGGTTACATCTCCAAGCTCTGATACACAACATCTGAGGATATGCCGTCTGCACACTGAGGTACTCCGGGTCCTTGTGCTAATCACAGTCTTGTCTGTCCTGGACAAGGTAAAACTCCGGCACATAGGCATCCACGACCAATTGGTCCCTTCACCCCTATTATTCAGAATGAAGAGTCCTACATCAGAGTATTGTACTTAAACCTCACACCTACATCCACATGAATGAAACTGGAGTTTTGTTACTACATCTGTATTGCTAAACAGACTGAGGACAAGGAGCAAGGTTTAATGCTGGTCAGCTGATTCTCCATAACGCTAAATTGCCAGCAAGCTTTTGGCATGGTTCTGGCCAAGGCCAGCTAGCATCTCCACAGCAATACCTAGGCGCCAGGAGAACCTCTAGTTACCTAGCACACACCAAGGACTGCTTCCAATAGGAAGTTAGATTTGGGTTTCTTCTTCCTGTTCCAACACTATCCCAACAGGCTCTACAGCCTCAAAGCACTCTTCCATGTCCTTCTGCCATGTCCCAAGGCATGTAACACACCTTCCAGTTTCATACTACGCAAGCAACAGTTTTATGGGCCACAACAGAGTTTTTCTGTTATATCAGATATTTCGACGTAAAAAAGACACAAAAATTACAACAAAGTATTACAGCCACAGTGCATTACATACAGCTTTGAGGAGACCCACAGCACAAGCGCCATGTAGGGTAGATGTGACCAGTCTAGTCACTTGGTCTCAGGGCCAGAAAACAGTCCCCAGCCCCGTTCTGTTTTGTGGTATAGACAGGGCCTATATGGCCTACACCCAGGGCTGGTGAGGAGGAATCGGACCCACTTTTACTCCGTGTGCCTTCAGGTGAGGCAGGGTCTCCCATAACCCTGATATGGCAGATGAAATGACTGGTGAAAAGCAGCTGATGCAAGTTCACACTGGCTGTCATAACCCAAAAATGAACAAGCAGTTTCTTCGGGGGGGCTTGCTCCTACCTAGACAGACCACGTTTCCTGAATACCGAAGGAAGAGCAGAGACAACAGAAGTCAGGAGGGAGGGCAGTGTGGGAAGAGCGGGCCATTTGTCCTCCCTCCCACAGAGCCAGTTAGGCCTCTGCAAACAGCTGCGCCAGCTTCTGACCACCATCAATATGTCAATTCTGCTTCTCAAAATCACGAGCCTACTTTGGGTTCATGTACACACCTCCCAGGCATCTAACTGTGGGCAATTCTCCATTGGTATTGACAGCTGGTGCACTCAACAGCAACACACAGGGAGTAGCCAACACATTTCCCTTCCCACCAGCCCCCTGCGGCAGTGTCATATTGGACATTGCTGTAATGGAAAGGTTAAAAGAAACTGTGTTGAAAAGAGATGAGAAAGGATTGACTTTATGTTTAGACAGTGCCTAGGGCTGCATTGGGACAGGTTTTGGGGGACAGAGAGCAGAAAGAGTAGTTGAAAGTGCGTCTCCTCTTCCTCTTGTTGGCAGAACAGCGTGAGGCTATTGGCTTGGTGGTGACATTTGACCTTGCTTTTCCTTGACTGGTTGGGAGACCCCCCCAAGTTTGGAGCATCTGTACATGGAATATGAAGAGGATGATGATATTTCCTTTGCAAAATGGATGAGCAGCTTCTGGGGCCACAACTTGATCGATGAGAATGAGAAAGAGGGTAGAGGCCACAAGAAACGTCAGACACGACCCTTTAGTGAAAGGAGAGCCTCCCTTCCGGTAAGAGCTGTGTGCAGTTTTCTGTGTGTGTGTGTGTGTGTGTGCGTGCGTGGTTTATGTACAAATATAAGTGCCATCTCCAGGGGCCGTGGTTTGTGTACAAATATAAGTGCCATCTCCAGGGGCATCGCCCTAGAGATCTGTGAGGATGAGTATGGTGCACCTTGCTGAGTAAGTTCAGCTCCTACTGGCAGCAGCTAGTTGCTTTTTGAACTTAGCTGCCTGCCACAGTCAGGCCTCGGGTGCCTCTGGCATACAAGAAAACTGGCAAACTCCAAGGTAAGTGACAATAGGACCAGAAATGTAAGGAGAAGGGTGTAATAACTGCCTAACTATGTATTACAATGTTGTTCAGTCTGCTGAGGATGACCTGGCAGAGATCAAAACATTTTGGAAACTGGCACACAAACACTGGCTTCAATGAGTCTGTTCTCATGTGTAAAACTACATAAGCCTGTATGTATTCACAGGATTTGGACCTAATTCTGCAACCATACCATCTGCAGGAAGTTGTACACTTTACTCCCTGGGATGTAGCTGTTTGCAGGTGTAACTTCTAATTTAAGCTAGAGGATGCGGTCCCTCCTTGTTTAAAACATCTGATTCTGAAAATAGGGATGCTGTGAAGTAAGATTTTAAGGGAGAAACACGTTCTTTATTCTTAAACCAACAAAATAGTTGGGAAAAGAGCAGGGTTCACATGCAGAGGCAGTTTTTTAATGCAGCTCACAACTGTCTAACCAATTATCAAAATGAAGTTAAACTGAAAGCAGCTGTTCCCAGTCTGCTCTTTACTTGAAGGCTGTTGCTTTTATTTCAGCCCTAAAAAAATGTTTAGGCTGTCCAAACCTGTCTCTTTTTTTCCAACTACATCACTTGGCTTACCAAAGATGATATGTTTCCTTACAAAGCATTTTTCACTTATATCCTTAGATCATTATAGCTGCAACAAAGCAAATGCTATTCTATTGGGGAGAAACAGCTAATCTTTTCCAGACTTTTTTTCTGCCATGCTGTATTTTCACCTTGCAAGTTCTCCTCCACTGGAGCTGCCATGTTTTAAGCTGTGGGATTTTTCATTTTCAAAAAATTTGGCTAAGAAAAACAAAACAGACAAAAAAACACCTCTCCCCTCTTTGAATTCATGGATGGGTTGGAGAGGTAACCTTCATTCATTAGTTTTAAACTGATCAGCCACATTTGTTATTTACAGTTATATTTCACCCTGGCACAGATTGCAAGACAGGCTCTGAGCTAGAGCTGTGCTGATGGATTCCATCAGAATGCCTGAAAACAGAATGTTTATTAATGTTTTTTTTAAATTAATTTTACTGTATTTTAATTTTGTCCTTCAGAGATCTAGGCGTGTGATTTCTTTAGGCCCCAATACAGACTGAAGTGTAAGGGTGTACTTTAAATCACTGTCTATTCAGCAAGCTGCTGAACCATCTTTGTGTATATTTGTGTGTGTATTTGTGTGTGTACACATACATTTCATTTGAAGCATGTTCTTATATTCAGTTTGTTCAAAAGCTATTTAAATACTTAGCCAATATCTATTCAAATACTTTGCTATAGTTGCATCCCTGAATCAACACCTAGAACTTGGATTAAGTTAGCTGACAGAAAGACTGTGACTTTTGACATGTTCAATGAGCTAAAGTTATCCTGTACACTTAATTATGTCTGACCTTTACATTAATGCTCCACATAAATTTGTCTTGCTCCAGTAGTATTATACAAGAGAGAGAAATTTCAACTGCTTTATTTCTTAGTGCCAGAAATCGACTGGAGGAATGAGAAGGGAAGATTTGTTTGGGGATTTTATGATTCAGGGATAAATTTTGAGATGAAACTTTTTATTTGGAAATCTCTGACTAGTTGGTAGTGAAGAGCACTGAAACATGTTGTCTTAAACCAAATCTAGAAGTTAAACAAATAGGCACTAATAATTCCTTAGAAATACCTTCAGAAAGAGCACCTCCTTGTTGAGAGCAACAACTTGCTATTGCACCTGCGTGTGTTTTTTACACAGTTATTATAAATGATAACTACTGTAAGATTCAATACACTTATCAGTGTTGGTTAAATATTGTCTTCATTTTATCAGAACAGTGCTATTAATCAGGAGGATTAATAACTGAGATCAGACTGCGTCTCTTCTATAAGTTAATACCTCCACAGCAGATCACAGTGTACCCTTTCTTCTGTGTCAGCATTGTAAAAAGAGATAACACCTCTGTCCTGGTGAAAATCAAGTCAGCAGGTTCTGGCTGACACAGCTGTTGGCAAAAGTTCCTTGTGCAGATACAACGGTACTGCCAAAACAGCACTGCCAGCACACTTTGTCTCGTATCCAGGGCTGGTATACGGTGCATCAGCAATAGTGCAGTCCTGCCCACATGAACTGCATCTGCACCAGGAGCATTTTGGTATTGCATAGCAAAATGCTAGCAGTATAGCACAAAAGGTGGTTTTGCATAATGCTGGAAATCCCTTTCAGCTCCAAATTGGTATGTTGGTCTTTGTAGTTTTTCTTGTGCTGTAGAAAGACATTCGAGCCGCTGCTGTCACCTCAAACACAATGGTAAACTCCTGTGGCATCCTATCATGGTAAAGCCCCCCCAAATATGGATAAAGCTTTGTAGAACAACTCCCAAACTAACAGCAATTTTCTTTTTTTTTTTTTGTCCCAATATCTTAGTATACCTCACAAACATTACTGAGATGAGCTTCGCAAAATGCTTTTGCTATTGTCATTCCCATTTTGCAGAGGGGAGCACAAAATTGTATGCATCCTTCACTGGGTCACTGGCAAGACAGGCTAAAACTTGCAACTCCACTCCCCTGAAAAGCATCAGAGTTGTATATGTTGCTGTGGGCCAACACTGAATGTGAAAACTGCCTGGGGAGAACTAAGTCATCTGTGTTCTTCTCCTTTAGTTAACTTGTTCCCCTGGCAAACTTTAGATACATTAACTGTAATACCCTTTTTGAAGCCTCCAGCTACGACTTTCCTTGACACATTCTAGTTATCCTCCATCATTTTGGTTCAGGACAGTTTCTTACCTCCCAGACGTTTTGTTGTGGGGAAAAGATAGGAGGCAAAGGAGCACTGGTAAGAGTTTTACAACCCTGTAAATGTATCCACCTTCAAGTAGACGTTGCTGCTCAACAGGAGAAAATCTGATAAGAAACAGCTGAGAGTAGGAGCAGAACAACTGACTGCTGTTGAAGTTACTAACATTTAATTTAAACTAAAGTCAGACTGAACATCTACCACAATATTGTTACTACAGAACAGTTGGAGCCTAGGCTAAAACATTTTTAAGGAATATATGCTTGGCTATACGCTTCTCGGAAGGAAAGGGAAGCTTTCCCTTCTCTGTGGGAAAGGAAGCATTAACATCTGAATGTCAGATGTTCCAAAATATCCCTAAAGTACTGGGGTCATTGTGTAAACTTCAGCAAACAATGAACACTCGTGCCAACACACTGAAGATTAATTTTCTTACCGACAGCTGTGCAAGCCCTGAGATCAAGCCCGAAAGATGGAAGCAATTATCTTGTCTCCAACAGAAATTGAGAAAAAGAATAGGCATATTATATTGAGATCAATTTCCTGAAGTATTTTTGTTTGTGTACTTTCTGTGTGTTTTAGATGGGCAATTAGCAAAAGATTAGTTGTTGTGTAGATACGCTAAGCATGACTGGCCTTTACACAAAGGCTCAAGCAGAAAAAGGGAGTACTAAAGGGAGTGAGAAACAACCCCTGAGAACATGCTCGGTGCTTCTGGCTTTCCCAGCACTGGCAAAAATTCCCCATTTTGATACAGGGGAGCATTTATCATTCTTCCTTCCCATGCCTTTTCCCTTGTTTCACCTCCTCCCCACTTCTCCAGTTTAAGAACTGCTCAAGGTCAGACCCTAGGAGCCAGAGACCAAGGGGAGTTTGCTAAAGAGGCACCAGTTGTAGGCAAAAGGCAGCTGCTGGGGCAAGGACAGGAGCAGATACTGGGGCTGTGCTCAGGGACCTTTGGCAAGGGACGACAGCAGCAGTGGGTGGGACACCAGAGTGTGCAGATACAGGGGCAATCTCTGTTGCCAGCAGCTGCTGAGACTTCAGGAGGGGAAGCATAAATTAAAGCAGTCTTCGGCCGTTCTTACTTACAATGTTACCAAGCAATCAATTTGGCACCAAATGCGTGTATTAAATGCATGTATTAAATCTCAGAGACAGGAAGAAAGCCACATGGATTTTATCTGAAGTCAATGCCAGATCTGCTTCATTGCTGAGCTTCATTTTATGACTCTTTCAGTTCTCCACAGAGTCAATCTTAAATAAAAGACCTGTGCTAATTATAAGCCACAAAATGTTCATGCTTGAACAATTGTGTTAAGGCTCCTGTCCTCTGTAGGGTTGTGTTCATAAGACAGCAACATGCTAACGTGCGTGAGTGTGCTGTCCTTCTAGTTATGGTGGTAAGTATCATGAAAAGGCACTGTGAGAGGAGGCACAGTCACAGTAATATGATGACATAAATATGTAAGTGTAGCTTTACCCTTAGTCTGCTGAGGCAGATACATATTTCAAAGGAAGGCCTGTCCCTTTTCTGGACCATTGGTGCCGTGTCAGTTTGTGAACTGCAGTCTTTTTGTTAAGGGCTTAACTATAATTCCATCTGTGAGGGGAAATTAAAAGCAACATCTTAGTAAAATAAACCACTTAAAAATATTGCAAAACAGGATTGATAGAATACCATCCTCCATTTCAGCTGTCCTCCTGGGGTTTTTTTTGCCCAAACCCTCTAAGAACAAACACCAGTGATTTTTACTTTGAGATAATTTTTATTTCCAGGAAACAATGTATGTTGATGCCATTAAAATGACATAGAAGACATTTAGCTTGTTGAGCTTGACACGGCATGTGTAGTCCTGTCCCTCAAGCACAATGTGATTGCTTTGATGCTTTTTAAAATAACAATACAATATGACCTTACAGAAATTATAGCTGTATTGATTAGTTTGAAACCAAAGTAAAAATAGGATGGCTGAAATCATTACCACTACTTTCAGAGGCAGTCCATAATACTAGTTACTGAAGTAAGCTTATGTCTGGAAATGAAACTGAACCAGTACTATATGATCTGAAAACCCTTTGGTATTAGGTGCTTCTGTCAGGTATAAGACTTATGTAAAAGAACCAAGAGTTGCAGATGCCTGTGAAAATGGGAAGTATAGATTAGTAAATAGCAGGATATATAGCCCCAAGAAAATAATATTCTTAGTTACTACCAACAGCTGCATGTGGCAACTAGTAATGAGGGAGACAAATCTGCCTATATAGATCTGCAGCATTTTGCTGGAAGATGCATAACGCTGTCAGGTGTAGATTTACTGGTGATTTAGCAATTCGCATCAAGCCTGTCTAAAGTGATGTAGTCACAACCATATGGATGCACAGTCTCACTACTCAGAGAAAGGCTGCACAGGTCCCTGTTGTGCTGATACATTTATAATAGCATCTGGGCCAGAGTAAACGCAAACGTATACAGGCCATGTTTCAGGTCCCTTGCAGTCCAAGGTCTGTAGATTCATGTGGCCACTATACCAAGTTGGTTTACCTTTCTTACTGCTGTTTGTTAAAAAAACAAAACAAAACAAAAAAAACCCCAACAAACCTTACTCTGAGTGTAGGGTTTTCTCCTGGATTTTCCTAGAAAGCATTTCAGGATCTGTGGGATAGACCTTCCGTTGTTACAAACAATCACAGCCCCCTTGAAGCCAGCAGAGCTTCTTAGGGTTACTTAGTAGCTGAAGGCTTAGCGCCAGGCTTATACAAAACGTATATGCATTCAAACATGTGTGCAGCAGCTGGGTGCCTGGAGTGCCATAACCTGACACCTGGGGGGCCTCATTTTTTGTACTTCCCATCTCTCTCTTACAACTTTCACCACCTGCATCTTACCAGTGTTCAGCCCCTCACCCTGAAAAAGCATCAACAGCTGGCAGGGTTTGGGGCATGCCTGGCTCTCTATGGTGGCCTTCTCACCCATCTCTTCTACAGGTCTGTCGACTTCTAAAACCACCAATACATGACTCCGCAGGACACAGCGGTTCTGTATCAGTTTAATCTCCTTTGCAGACATTCAATTAAACACAGCTGATGCAGATCAAGAGCTTTAATCTGCATATCAGGCCTGGGAAAATTGAACCACATGGAAACTAAACAACTATCTGCTCCCTCCCCACTTTAGCCCTACAAATGTAACTGTAGGAAGCCTGTTTCCTACCATTTCTGTGGTAGGGATGTGTCCCTCAATGCCCTGGAAGTGCTCCCTCATCAGTTCAGGACAAAGCAGAAAATTCAGACCTGGACAATAGAGTATCTTGTCTGCATGTAGGCCATGCTGCAAATTCGACACAGCTGAGCTAGAAATGGTCCCTGTCACACTCAGATAAACTCAAACATCTGATAAGACCTGGAGCACCTGTGGGTCAAACCCCATATCTGGCTCATCTGGCCACAAAAGGCTGGGTCTTTGCTTTATGAAAGTCCTGCCTAGAACCTGCCATCAGATGTAAGGCCTGAGTTTTTGAGGTTATGAAGGGTCCCAGTTTCTTTTAGTGTCAGTGGGCGCTAGGAAAACCCAGCACACTTTACATTTAGAATGCTTATTTGGGTGCCAAAGCTTATATACTCAAAAACAGGAACAAAAGCAAATTCTGCTGCTTCCTCTGGAAAGCAAGCTCTTGGCAGTGTGATTCTCCTGCACATAAAAGGAAAGATACAGAAGTCTGGGCAAGGTCTTTCATTGTGCATCGTTGCTGGGAGAGCGCTCTGTAGCAGAGAGAATCTGCCCTGGGTGCTCTGATTTAATATCCAATACTCAACAAAGACCTCTTACTTTGCAGGCCAGTCTTTCCTCCCTCCATACAACACGACTTCATGCCTCTACCAAAGGCTCATCTTCAGGGCACCTCAAAGGCTCCAAGGAATTTCAAGAAGACCAAGATGTCAAATGCAACTGCCACAGGAAGGCAAGCAGAATACCTTCAGCAGACAGCTCATGCCCAGAGACAAGAACAAACTCCATCCAGGAATTTGCAGAGTCCTTTGAAAAGCAATTGCATCTCAAAAGCAAACGCTCAGTTTCTTTGGTAGGTAACAACCAATAGCAGCCTTAAGATCACTTCAGAAAAAAAACCCAAACCAGCAAGCAGGCCAGCTTTATCCCTGGTGTAATTGCTGTGGCTTTGCTGGGGGAAGAGCAGAAATAAACTTGAATTAGAATTCCACAAATGATGTGGTCCTTACCATAGCGCAAACAAGGTTCAAGTGGCAGTATCGTTCGTATGAGCATTCTTGATGTAGTGATACCATCTAGAGTTATTAAAAAATGTGTATTTTCAAAATGAGACACCACACTGGCTCTGGCAATGTTTTCAGAGGTTTCTATGGCTGTGCCAACAAAACGTGACAATATAAACCCAGGTTTGCTTCACTTTTGCTGTAAGACCCAGCTCTCTTTCTCACTGCTGCTGACCTGGTTTAACCATATACAGTGTTATCTATAAGATTGCCAGACATCGTGGTGTTTGAGAGGCTTCTCTTTTACCCCTTGGGACTCCATCCATCTGCTTTCTTCAATGTCACCACACAGCTGCAGCAGCAGCCGTTGCTATATGTGGCTGAACATATTTTCACTGTAAGGGCATGCAGCCAGCAGGAGATTCTCCCCCCATTTCATCCTTCTCTTCTCCCCGTCATTCTGTCCTGAGGCGTGAGCATTTTCTGCATGGTTTGTGCTGACGAGGTAGCCAATAACAACCTTTTGTCTATGACACTTTAACACATTTTTATTATTATGATACATACTATCTGGTGTAGCATACAATGGAAGGAAGGGTAATAAACCCTAACTTGCTTTTAAGTATCAGAAGAACACTATCAAATTCAGTCACCCTATTGAAAAAGCTGTGCTTGAATAACACTTGACATGAGCACCAAATAACAATGGAGGGAAATATGGGGTTTTTTTCAGTTTGTTGCACTAACAGTTTTGTATGGAGAAGTAATTTTCAGCTCTCTTTGCAGACCTTCTGTGCAGCAGCAAGACAGAAAAAAATCTCTTTTCAATAATCAGCATCATTACATGATCAGTCCCACAATTATAGTCCTTGCATGCCCAGTCTTCTAAGAATATGCAGAATTATGGTGATGACAACTCTGTTATGCAATTGTTAAGATTTTAAGTGCATTCTCTAATCTTCTTTTTCCCCTTTGGGAACTACTCAGAATTTATTTCATTTGGAACTTCACATTACCTCATTTGCCAACCCTCACCAGTGGTTATCTGGTTTATCATTTATCATTTCTCAAAAGTGCCTACAGCTAGGAAGTCTCTGAGTGTGTAATAATTGTACAATAGGTATAGTGAGCATAATGCACTAAATACGGCTTCAGTTCCAGTTAAAAACATTGATTCTGGTACCCTTCTGTAATCCGCAGCGAGGTGTGCCGGGTGGTATTTTAATCTACCTTTCAAGTAGACCAAATTGTTGTCATTCCCTCAGTCACCATTGAAGTTTGGGAGATGTGAAGGACTTCAGAACCTTGAAGAACTGAGCAATAGGTGTTACAGATCTGAAAGGAAATTTGGGAGTGGGCTTAAACTTGTAGCTCCAAATGGAGTGGGTTTTTTTGCATTCAGAGCTCTGTGGGTGTAATTCAAACCACTCTTTACATGACTACACAAGTTAAAAGAAAAAAAAAAGTGTGGGAAAGGTAATCCCATTTCATCTCCTTCCCTGCATATTGCTTTTCTCTTATAAAAGTGGCTTTGAGGACACTTCATGATATTCAGCACTTGTTTTCAGTGAGGTCTTTGCAGCTAGCACTGAACAGCCTTCAGGCACAAAAAGATGGATCATGTGAAAGGACAGAAACATGGAGTCTGGGCTGAAATCTGAGTCTCTGCCTTCTCCCCTCCTTTCTCCTCTCCCCCTCAAGCCCTCCAAACAGGTGACCCTCCTGCCACACATAGGGTATAATTAAAAGCCTGTGACCTCTTGCTGAGTTTTAGGATGGATGGCTGGGGCCTTGAATTTGAGCCCATCATGTTAAAGCTGATCTTGCTGAGGTAGGTGACTGGAATATTTTATTATACATTACTAGTGAAAAAAAATACTGAGATTTTGTTGTTCATGTGGGAGTCACTTTTAATTCCCTGCTATTTTTCTCCTGCCTTTTAGCAATCTGAAGGCATGAAGGAGAGAAGAGAAAGAGAGAGATTGCATTTGGGAAAAAACAAGTCTCAAAAGAGAATGGGAGAGAAATCAGAGCCAAGGAGAGAGCCGAAAGAAGATGAAGGTTCAGAAGTTGTACCTGCAAAACACAACAAACAGTTTCCATCACAAGCAAGTACTGAGAAAGGATATTTATGCACAGGCAGCTAGAATGCATTGGGATAATGAATTTTAACACTCTACCTGAAGAGCAGAGGGAGCATTCTTGTTTTGTTTTGACTAGAAGAGGCCTGTTAGCTAGAATAAACCCTGACCTATAAAATAAAAGTAAAATTCAACTGCATCATTGACACCATGTTACTACCTTCCTGTCTGTACTTTCTCCATTAGGAATGTGACCCTTGTCATAAGAGGAGTGTGTCTGGAGCAAGATCCAAGTTAGCAATGAACGACTATAAGAGGATTTCAGGCAGATTTAGCATTGCAGCAGGACAATGGTGGATGTGTTCGTTTAAGAGGAGAGCATGTATTTATTACAGAGCTGTGCAAAGTCATCCAAAGCCTTATGTTTCTCTTTTAATTGAAAACGGGCCTATTGGTAGGTTTGGGAAGGAAAAAGTACACATAAACTGCCACCTGCTTCCTGGCCCTGACCTTCACTTAGATTTGGCTTGGAAACAGGTATCTTTTTTCTTTCACATTCTCTCAACACCAAATTTACCGGAGTAATAGAAGAGAGGTCCCCAAGTTCTTTTCTACACCTTCCTGATGTCTCACTTCTCTCTGCTTTTCCTCACTGTCACTGGCAATATGACTCTTGTTTCTCTGGCATAGAATCATAGAATCATTAAGGTTGGAAAAGACCTCTAAGATCATCGAGTCCAACCGTCGACCCAACACCACCATGCCCACTAAACCATGTCCCCAAGCGCCTCATCTACACGGCTTTTAAAT